TTTTAAGCATTCTAATTTTAATTTTAAATATACTTTCTGCTTTTTTTCTAGAATCTTTTTTGGGTGCAGGATGATAAGGCCGCTACAAATTAAATTGTTAAAGTAAGTTAATGGCTACTTGCCAGCTCCTTTATTTAAAGATTACATCAATATATGAAATATATATATATATATATATATATATATATATATATATATATATATATATATATATATATACTGTGTTTCGTAATTGCACGGCACTATTTTAGGTATGTGTTCACTATCTAGGTATCTATAATTATATTAAAATATGCTGAAAAGAAACTTGATAATGGGCGAACAGGTACAGAAATGTTATTGCAAGTAAATTGACAAAAATTGAAAAACAAATTAATCAATCGTTTATTTTAGTTGTAATAAAAAAATTATTTAGTCATAATAAAAAAAAATTGTAATTCTTTTTTCGTTTTCATAAAATATTTCTTTATAAAATTGTGAACTAATATGAACTTTTTAACCAGGATGAAGTCCATAATTCTATGAAGATTAGACTTCCCATCACTCGAAGATGACTTCAGGAATTATATTGATCAAATATAAAAAATATTGATTCTGTTAATAAAAGCAAATTATATATATATATATTTGTAAATTATTGGTTTGTTCTTCCATCTTATTCCTGTTTTCCATTTCCTTGACTGAACTAATTACAATATTTGGTTGCTGATTGTAATTGAAGCTATTAATTTTTTTTTCTGATCCACCATAATTTTATTTAAACTATTACATATATAAGTATAATATATATATAGATATGTATTCACAAGCTTTGTCCTTGGACTTGTGAATATATATATATATATTGTTATTAAATATCCATAAATAGCGATATAAATTACTTGTAAACTTGTTGGGGAGCTTTCAGGTTGAAGCCTCTCTCCAAAATAGAAAAATAAAACCATGTCGAATGAAAAAAATTATCTCTAAAAGTTTTATTTTTCATGAGTTACATTTTTATAGGATTTCAAGAATCCCTTAAACACCATTTCAGTTTTTTTATTTTTCTTTCCAAGAATGTATAAAAAAAAAAAATGATCGTTTTTCAACCAAATATTTGTATTATTATTACTTTGATATAAAATACAATTAATACTCCAAGTATAGTCCATTGTTATCTACCGCCAATAGCCATTCTTTGTGATTTTTAAAGAAATCAAAATTTGCAAACATTTAATACTTGATTTTATTAAAGCATTTCTTTTTTCCGGCCGATAACTAAGGCATTTGGATTTTATCCAAATTCAACATTAGTATGACAAAATGGTACATTTTTGAGAAAATTCTGAAAATGTCTTTCACCGTTGATATAAAGTGATACTTAAGGTTAGCCGATTTTAATAGAAAAGTTGCCCTCACATCTCAGTCATAAATCATATAGACTCCACGGAGGGTTTCAAAAATTATCTCGATGAAAGGTTAAGGACAAGAGAATTAGGACAACCAACGAATATACAACCAAAGAGGAATATCTAATTCGTGCCTAATCTGCAACGAAGGGAATATTGAAGTCTTTATGGATAATTGTGTTTGTGACATAATAAAGAGAATTTTACGGTTTTTGGCTCCTCTTATAAAACTTTAAAATTTGCAGTTGCGTCATTTTTCCACTGAATAACATCATTTATTTAATGGAATGTGTAATTAAATTTAAATTACTTATTATTTCATTGATTTTATTTAAAAACCTATTACTTTTTAGATTTTGAAAATAAATATTTTAGATAATGAAAATAAATTCAGATTTCAGAGTCATTAAATGAATAAAATAAAAAGAACTAAGGTGTGTGTTTTACACCACACGATAGAAGTTAAAACCTCAACAATACGAGATTAACAATATGAAATATAATAATAATAGTGTGTTTTATTTCGATTACAAAATAAATGACATTATAACAATATGCCTAACTAAAGACTAAGATAAAAAAATGTTTTGATATTATTGGATAACTTACATACATGGGTTGGCCACTTTTACATTTTAATAAAAACCATAGTAGTATTACAAGATTTGCTCCTCATAAATGAAGACCAACAGTATACTTGAATATAAGTATTAAATACATTTCAAGACATTATGATCATAAATATACATAGTTCCTATTTCCTAAATACCAAATCCATATAAAATTCGAATTCATACAATATAACATCAATACAGCAATATATAAACAATAATTATAATTAATAATAATATAAATTGTAATAATCATCCAATATTATCCAGTTCATAAATATTTACATGAAGTTCTGTTTATAAATGCACAAATATTAATAGTTTTTTTTTTTATTTCTTAATGATATTTACAACTGAATTAAAGAAATGCATTTAGTAAATTTGAACATATGGATATAAATATGTTAAACACTCGTTGAGAAATTACCCAATGGTAGAATATAATATGTCTACATCAGAAGATCACGGTGCCATCTTCTTTTCAGCAACCTCGTAGTGTTATCAAGAATTGAAGAGGAAGCAAGGTTAGAAACGAGAGGGTTGGGATGATTCTGAAGTTTATTATGGAAGGATAGGTATCTGGATTGGTCCAGATCTGAAACAAACGAAACATTAAGGTCATTATGGATGGTTTTATTTGTAACAAAGTAATAAGCATTAAGGATTTTAAGGAGGATTTCGGATTGTAAGGATTGGATACGAGAGGAATTCGATGGTTAAGTGGAGCCCCAAAGCTCAATTCCGTAAGTCCAAATAGGCCTTATTATAGTCATGTATATGAGTCTTTTGTAATTAATTGGAAGTTTAGAGCGTTTGTCTAGTAAGTGCTGAAGTAATCGGAAATGTCGATCGGTTTCTTGTCGTTTTAGTCTGGTATGAGGATTCCAAGTGAGACGTTTGTCCAGGTGGAGTCCTAGGTAGCGGATTTCGTGGAATTGGTTGGAATTTATTTTAATTCTCCAGTTTTAGCACTCTCGCTCAATCTCAAAGTGAGAAGTGAGGGGATCTTCTGTAGTTATGCTTTCTTTCCACAGTTGTAGGGATAAGTCTGGCACGGATTTCTCTCGCCTGATTGTAAATAGTGTGTGTATATAGGTATGTATGTGTTCTTTTTTATTTATTTTTAGGTTATTTTACTTTATTTATTGTATCTATATTATTTTTCTGTATAATTTATTGTACATAGAGTGTGAATGTGATCTCTGAACAATATTATAAATTTCCTTTGAGAAAGATAATATGTTTCAATAAACAATTTAAAAAAATAAATTCGGTTTTTTTTTTAGGGGGGTTTGTGGATCATTTTAACAATAGATCGTTTTCAAAGATAAGGAAAATATGTGAAACAGTGTACAGCATTATTTATATGTAAGTAAGGAATAGGATGGCTTTTCGGAGAAGAAGTTTTAAGATCGGGGATGTAATTAGGTCATGTCCAGGAGCTTTGCGGCAGGGTAACTTTTGAATGATGTTGGATATTATCCTGAAATTACTTGCTTAATATTCTGTAAATCAGCCGCCATTTTTGAAAGCAGCGGATCTGGAATGGCAGATAGATAAGGTTCTTTTTACTCAGAATAACATACAATATCGGGCCGGCGGCCCAAGCCCCTCCCGAAAGCTGGAAAAAGATTTTAAAAAACATCTATTTAAAGAAAACAGAAATATAGGAAAAATTCATCCTCATAGACGATTTTTTTAATGTAACATAGCAAAATTTGGTGCGCGCAACACACAACTTTCACTTACCGCTCTACTTTGAATAGAAATTATACTCTGGCAATGCTGTGCTATTATACAATTTTTCGAAGTTAATTTTAAACGGAGCTAAAGCTTAAAGCTTACAAATAACAAGTCATTAAGACCTTTAAAATTGGAAAATATCTATTTCTTATATCGATGGTAGGCAATAAAAATGTAATTACTCCATTAGCTTTTATAAACCACACAACTTTCTTTGCTTTTGTAAACCACAGAATGACTAACTCCAATTTCAACATTTTTGAATAATGTCATTTTAGTAATATTTTTAGTTGAAAAAGTTATTTATGCAGACGGTGAGTAAGTTGATTCCGGAGGTGGTGATTGCAGTGTTGAAATATAGAACTGAGAATAAAGGTATAAAATTAGGTACTTATTTCTTATGAAAGATGTTCTTAGGAAAGGTACATTATAAAATATCTGTACAAAAAATGTTTTTTTAGTCTCAACAATTAAAAAAGTATATTTTAAATTTATCCAAATTTTCGCCTCTTCAGGGAAAAAACTAGAGACCATATCTTTCCTCCTAATTGTACGATTTCAAAGATTTTTTTTTCTTTTTAAATTCCACAAACTTTTAAAAACTATACAATATCCCCCAAAAAGTGTATTCTTTTTGAGTTATTCGAAATTTAATTTTACCATCCCTCGTAACTTTTTTTTCAGCTTCTTTTCGTTGAATTATGTTATATAGATAAATTTAAAGGGTGTCGAGAAGGATTGTGGAGCCGAGGTATTTGAATTTTTCTACCCTCGGGAATGATTTTCCTTCTTCGCAGATTCTGTTGTTGATGTTGACTTTTCCTGCTAAATATCATATTTTTCATTTATTATTAAAATAAATGTATGAATGAAAATAGTTCCCATCTATACATATTTATTGCATTATTCACCCTATGTAACAATACTTTGAGAAGGATGACACAAGAGTTAATTCTGAAGAAAAATAAGGAGTTAATTTAATGGAAATTAGTTCTTAACACAATAGAAGTAATCTTAGATTGGATAAAAGAATTTTAAATTTAAAAAATCTATTATTGAATCTTAAAAATCTATAACGATTTTTTTCAGAGAATGAAAATAAAGGAAGGGTCGTAAAATGAATATACAAAAGAATTGTTATATTCAGTCGAATTAGTAATCGTAAAATCAGAAATTGAAAAACATTGAATGTTGTTTTATTTACTAATTATTTGTAAATTAACAATTTTTTTTGTTTTACCCCCTCCACTAAAGTTAGAATAAATACCAATATACGAGCCCCAATGTATTCATTCGGCAATCACGATCTGTTGATCAACATGAAGGTCTTCCTAGTTCTTTGCTTTGTAGCGATGTGCCTTGTTGCGGCGCAGGTATGCCAATTTCATGTATCTTATTTTAAAAGACAAAATAATAATAAAACACTGTTTCTTGATCTACGATTGTACAAGGAGATGATTTGACCGAGATCATGCTCAACCACCAGGTTTTCCCTCTTAATTAATTATTACCGCCACTTTATAGAGGCTGAGTGTGCCCCATAACGTTCTCGGGATTCAAGAGTCACCCCACGGCCAATGAAACAGGATAAATAATTTCTCTGTCACGAACCGGGATTCAAACCTGAAACTTTGAACGTTGGTAGTTCAGTACCCTACCGCTGATCTACAACGCTCCCCGTCATTTTACAAGATAAAAGACAATAAATAATCTGTATACTTAATAAATATTTATTATACACTGCTGCGAGACCTGGACAATAATCAGCACTATAGTAAAAATCTGGTGTGCGCATCACACAACTTTCACTTACCTCTCTACTTTGAATAGAAATTATTTTCTGGAAATGTTGAGCAATTATAACATTTTTTGAGTGCCCTTTAACGGAGGTATATTTTAATGCTTAATGATGTTAGGATTTCACAAAGGGAAAATTCATCAAATTGTTCACTAATTTAATTTTCTAAATGGTCAAATGACGAATTTTCAGAATAAACGTACGTTGATGCCTAATTATTGAAATATAATATCAGATCTAGAATTATTAAACTACAGTAAATGTATTTAAGGTTATAAACATATGCTTTATAGATCCATGAAATATTTTTATATTTCATTTATTTTTTTCACACAAGAACTATGAGAGAATTTTTTAACAAGCCATTGTCTTGATAAGGTGGATTTTAATTTTTTTTTTTTCAAACTTAACAAAAGTTTTTAATTCATTTGATTTCCTTGAAAACATGTGATTTACGTTAAATATTATTAGTTTTCAAAAATTATTGTTTATAATTTTTTGCGACTCTCCGTTACCTTCTTTAACTTTCTATTTTATATATTGTTTTTTTTTTCTTCTAAAATTCTCCACTTTCCAACGATATATTATAAGTATATCTTCTGACTAGTATATCCGTAGCTTCATTGTCGACCTGGATAAGCATTTTTATTTTTTTATCCTTTATTAAATTATCAAATTCTTTCAAAAGCTATATTTAGCATTTTTTCGTACTTCTTGGACTCACTTGGAAACCCCATACCAGATTGAAACGACTAGAAAACGCCCGACGTTCCCGACTACTCCAGCAGTTACTAGACAAACGCTCTAAACTGCCAACTATTTACAAAAGACTCGTATATATTACTATAATAAGGCCTATTTGGACTTTCGGGATCGAGCTTTGGGGCTCTACTAAACCATCAAATTCCTCTCGTATCCAATCTCTACAATCCAAAATCCTTCGTAAAATCCTTAATGCTCCCTAGTTTGTCACAAATAAAATCATCCATAATGACCTTAATGTACCATATATTTCCGATTTAGCTCAATCCAGATACCTGTCCTTTCATGGCAGATAATGAAAACATTTATTTTGATAAATAAAAAAAGAATGTTTTTTAAAGAAGAGGTAAAAACTAGTATAAAGTGATACAGATTTATTTTCTACTAGTAGGCCCGTGCGTAAAATTCGCACAGCATATTGTTATTAAATGCTAATTTAATAAGAAAATAAAATAATGCAACGTATCAAAAGATTTTTTTTTTTTTTTTTTTAACTTTTATTATGATATTTACAACTGTATTAGTATGAATACATCAAGTAAATTTGTACAGAGAAATATTATTACATGAAACACGCTTGTTGAGAAACTACCCACTGGTAGCACTCTAATAATTTGTCTACATGAGAAGATCACGAGGCCATTTTCTTTTCAGACGCCTCGGAGGGTTATCAGGAATCGAAGAGGAAGCAAGGTTAGAAACAAGAGGATTTGGATGGTTATGAAGTTTATTATGGAAGGATAGGTATCTGGATTTGGCCAAATCGGAAACATATGGAACATTGAGGTCTTTATGGATTATTTTATTAGTGACAAAGTAAGGAGCATTGAGGATTTTACGAAGGATTTTGGATTGTAAGGATTGGATGCGAGAGGAATTCGATGGTTTAGTGGAGCCCCATAGCTCAACTCCGTAAGTCCAAATAGGTCTTATTATAGTCAAGTATATGAGTCTTTTGTAATTAAGGGGAAGTTTAGAGCGTTTGTCTAGTAAGTGTTGGAGTAGTCGGAAACGTCGAGCGGTTTCTTGTCGTTTCAGTCTGGTATGAGGATTCCAAGTTAGACGTTTGTCCAAATGAAGTCCAAGGTATCGGATTTGTTCAACAGGGATAAGTGGGGTATTATTAAAGGATACTGTGGGACATGAGGTCATAGGTTTACGTCGAAGGGTAAAGGTGATTTGATGGGATTTATTAGAATTTATTTTAATCCTCCAGTTTTGACACCATTCTTCAAGGCTTTTGATGTGTGATTGAAGAGTTTGGGATGCAATGGTTGGGTCATTATTAACGGATAGGACACATGTATCATCGGCATACGTGGTAATAACAGTGTTAGGATGGGTTGGGATGTCAGCTGTATAAACTGTGTAAAGGATAGGACCAAGGATACTACCTTGAGGAACTCCGGCAGATTGAGAAAAGACGGATGAATAGGTATTATTGTGATTTACTTTGAAGTGCCTATCAGTAAGATAGGAACTGATGATAAGAAAATATGTAGGGAGAAGGAATTTACGGAGTTTGTAAAGCAATCCCGGATGCCAGACTCGATCAAACGCCTGTTCAACGTCGAGAAAAACTCCAGTGCAATACATTCCGCGCTCCAATGCAGAGGAGACTACGTCTACCACACGATGACATTGCTGGATAGTGGAATGGGATGTGCGGAATCCAAATTGGTGATCAGGGATTATGTGGTTAGAATCTAGGATGGGATACAGGCGTTTTAAGATGAGCTTCTCCAGGATTTTGCCCATGATGGGTAAAAGAGAGATAGGACGGTAAGAGGATGGGTATTCTGGTGGCTTTTTGGGTTTATGTATCATTTTGACTACAGATAGTTTCCAAGGGTCAGGAAAATATGTGGAACGGAGTACGGCGTTATAAATGTAAGTAAGGAATAGAATGGCTTTTCGAGGAAGTAGCTTAAGAATGTGGGAAGTGATTAGGTCGTGGCCAGGAGCTTTGCGGGAGGGTAATCTTTGAATAATATTGGATATTTCTGAAGGATGAAATGCTTTAGGAGGAGGAGTCATTTGAAGTGGAATATCCAGTTCTGTTTCAATACATTCAAGCTGATTTGGATTAAGGATATCAGGATGTGGATTAAAAGTTTTGAAGAGGTGATGAGCAAAAATTTGGGATTTTTCTTCATCAGATTTGGACCAAGTTTGATCTTCAGTAAGAAGTGGATGATTAAAGTCTTTGAATTTCAGGAGCCGTTTAGTCGTCGTCCACAATGATTTGTCGGTAGGTGTAAGTTTTTCAGTAAAATTTAGTAAATTTTGAATTTTATATTTTCTAATTTCTGATTTTAGTTTGTTAGTCAGTTGGGTATAATGAGTTTTATCTGTTGGATATCTAGTTCTATGCCACTTCGATCTTGCTCTGCGTTTTTCCTGTAATAAGATACGAATATGCTGTGGCAAGTTAGTCTTTTGTAAATTGTTAATCTTACTGTTAAAGGTGTTACTGTTTATACTGTCTGTTATTGATGTTGTAAGTTTATCTATGGCACCATTAATGTCTTCTTTTGTCTTGAGCGGAATTTTCAAGTCAAGTTTGTTTTCCAAGTCATCACGAAAGTTGTCCCAGTGTACTCGTCCTGTAATCAATTTAGGAGATGATGGTTTAGGAGCATAGCTTGAATGTAGTGAAAGCAGCACTGGACTATGGTCTGAAGAAAGGTCATCGAGTGATTTGATTAAGGCTTGTGAGAAGGAAATCTGGGAGGTGATAAATATATCTAGGATATCGGGACGTTTTTTGAGTGATGTTGGCCAATAAGTAGGACTCATGGGCGAGAGGATTGAATAACTGTTGGAAGATGAGATACGTGAAAGGATGTTACCGCGGGAGTTGGATGTTCGACAACCCCATCGTTGGTGTTTAGCATTGTAGTCTCCTCCAGCAATAAAGCGCGATCCGAGGGATTGAAATAAGGATTCAAGGAGGTTATAGGAGATGGAATTACCAGGAGGACAGTATACAGCTGAGAATGTGAGATGGAAAGGGCGAGTTGAAAGGACTATAGAAGTTGATTGAATGGCATCAGTTGGAGTGGAAGGAATAAGGGAGTGGGATAAAGATTTATGGATAAGGATGCAGGAACCAGCGTGGGAAGTGTTATCTGGGTGGTCAGATCTGTAAGTGATGTAGTCATGTATGTAGAAATGTGTCCGTTGAGTGAAGTGAGTTTCCGTCAGGAGGGCAATGTCAATGAGATTGTCATGGAGAAATAAGTCTAGTTCGTCTCGGTGGTTGAGTAATCCATTAGCGTTCCATAAAAGGATAGCTAGGGGCTTTGTATTCATCGGGGGAAGTTGAACGGGATTTCGGAAAGGAGTCTGGTGAGGAGGGTAATAAGCGGTTTGATAGTCTCTTGAAGATCTATCAGGAATGTTGAAAGGACAGAATTGATGTCGGAAGGTTTTTGGCTGTGAAGTGGATTTAGGTCAGGAGGATGTGATGGGTAATTTGTGCGACTAGGATTGCTGGAAGGGGGATGTGCCCGACGTGGGATGCGAGGAGTTGGATCTATATTCTGTTGGGCTTGTGATGGGATGTTTACATTGGGATTAGGAACGGATGGAACTGGGGGTGGATGCTCTGGCGGGAGTTTGACCCTTAAGGGTAGTTGGTGAAGAGGGATTTGCGGACGAGGAGGTTGAGGCTGAGGTTTAGCAGTTTTAGGCTTGGATTGGGAAGCCTGAGGCGCCTGTCGTCGAGGCTGCTGGTTCTTGATGGTGGTTTGGAGATATAAATTTCTCGAACCCTGTTGAGGATAGTCCGTAGCTGTGGAGATGGATGGTTGAGGCTGGATGACTTGAGAAGGTGACGACGGCAGTGCTGGGAAATTTGTTCTATCATCGATTGCGGGAGCCTCAGTCCCACTTTTATGATCAAGGTTAAGGCTTTTCAAAGCCATATTATGTGATCTCAGCTTCAGAAGATTTTTATAAACTACGCAACCTCTGTAGCTCGCTGGGTGTCCCTCGCCACAAAGTGCACATATAGCAGCCTCTTGCCTTGGTTTCTGGCAAAGATCAGACGGATGTGCCCCAGCACATTTGACGCATCTGGCCTGATGATGGCAGTAGGCTTTTGTGTGTCCCAAATTTTGACAGTTAGTGCATTGCACTACTATAGGTCTTTGTCTGGGCTCTTCAAAACGGACTATTGAATATAAAAGACGTTTTACGTTAAAAATTTCCGGGTTGTTTTTTGCAGGTTCGAGATCTATGAAAAATAGCGGTAGCGGGTATTTTTCCTTAGGATGAAGCACGGTAGCTATGTTCCTTACGCTATGGCCTATTTCTTCCAATCCCATTTTGATTGCGCTTATAGAAGTAGTTGGATGAAGCCCTCTTAATACGACTCTGTATGCTTTTTCCTGTCTCAGTTGGTAACAATGGAAATCGTATTTTCGTGAAGTAAAATGTTCAATTAATGTTTTGTAATTTTCTTTAGAGTTGGTATTTATTTTAATATCATTGACTCTGGAAAAACATGTAAAATTTGGCTGCCCAATCAGATCGGCGATTTCTTGTCCGAAGGACATAAAATTTTCAATTTTTGCGACGAAGATGGGTGGCGGTTCAAGATCACAAGTTTCTTTTGGCTCCAGAATCTTGTTTGTAGTATTGTTGGCTGTAACAGAGTTACTGATTGAGGTGTTTGGTGAAATTGATTCTGATTTGATGGCTGAAGTGATTTTGCTACGCGTGTTTGGTGTATTTTTGTTTGTTTCAGATGCCTTTTTTGATTTGGCCGATTTTTTTTTTTCTTATTTGGTGAGTTGGTGAGTTTCGATTGCGCTTTTGAAGAGTCCTTCTTTTTAAATATTGTGAATCGGTCTCACTGACTTCGGAAAATGGTGTCTCTTCCTCCGATTCTTCACCAGACGTATTGTCAGGTTCCATAATGAGAGAAAAAAAAAAATCTTTACCTGTTATAACACTAAAAAAAAAAAAAAATTACGAAATAAATTCTTAAAACTAAGCTATTTACATTATTTACAGTTAAAGTAAGAAAAAATCGTAATATACATAATTAAACCAAAGTAAAAGTCTTAGAGTAAAATAAACAAATAAAATAAAGAGAGAAGAAAAAAGAAAAAAAAAAAAAATAGTTTATCAGTTTGGATACGAACTCGATATGACTCGAAGGAAGTAGTGTTAGTAAATAGAGCCTTGGCCGTGTATCTTACGTAGATAGAGCAAGACCCGTTAAGGGAATTACCGATCAGCTGTGCTGTCTCTACCGAACTAGTATCAATTAACTATTAAACATAATTGTTAATAAATATCTCTCACCTCACTATTTAATGTGAAAATGTTTAAATGTACAAAAGCTCACTGTTCACAAATTATAGCAGCAGTATTTGCAGAATTAGCCAGTTGAGAAGGAGACAAAGACAGAGCGATGCAAGCATTAAACTGTAGTTGCGGCCATTTTCAGATCGTATCAAAAGATAAAGAAATCAATTGTAACTTTATCCATAAATATAATCCACAAAGGAAACAAAATTAATTTATATCTTCATTTTTGTTTGGAACCAACATATTTACAAATTTCAAGTATCCTTGCGAAAAATTGTCCGATTTCAATGTTTTTTTCCCCTTTTGTAGACAATTAAGTAATGCTTTATACAAGGGGGGAGCCTTGGTTCTGATTTGGTGCAAAAATTTTCTTTTCTTTATTTCCATGAAAATTCGTATTTGAGGCTTTATAGAGGTGCGAAATACAAATCTCAACTCTGTTTTTCCTTAAAAAAATATTTGAACCCACTTTCCTCCTTCTGTCAGTACAAATTATTTCATTGTTGTACTGATAATATAGCTATGTGCCAAATATATAGTTATTTTCAAATAAAATGGGCTATAATAGAACTCTCCCAATGAATATTAATCGAAAATACGAAAAAATAAATAATATAATGAAAAACAAAAATAATTGGAAAAATTTGTAATCGATTTCGATGATTTTTTTTCCCCTTTTGTAGACAATTAGTAACGTTTTATAAATCATGGGAATAACCAAGGGAGAAGTGTGTAATTTTTTAGTTATTCGCAAATAAAGTTTCTTTTTTTTCATAACTTGTTTGCCTGAATTTTCGGGAAAATCGGACTATTTTTCCCGCCTCAAGGAGAAGGAAGCCTTCGAAATTGGTGGCTCAATCTTGAGATTTGGTGAAGATATGGCTTCCCGATCAAAACACCATCGATAAATAATATAAACTCCTCCTCTCTCGATCATAGAAACCTCAAGTCGACGAAATGAGACATGTATCCAATGACAGTACAACAATTAACGTCAGGTTGTGTGGATTCAAACCCCATGCCTTGCGTTATCTCGAAAATAGTACGTTTTTTTGGGCTCAAGAACGCAGGATCCGATAGTTCCGAAGGAACTATCCGGGTCTTGCTGTACGCATCAAAATCTTCAAGATCCAATTTGTCCCGTATCGATCTACAGACCTACCACCGTTCCAGTATTGAAGCCTAGCAAAATGTTTGTATCGACTTCATTTATTTTAGAAAGAAAAACAAAAGCGGATAATACGATTCGCTAACCCCCCGTGAAATTCTGAATCCAACGGTACCCCATTCATGGTATTTGAGCATGACAGGCGCTTATATTTGGTACAAAACAGATTTCGAGCCTTACTGTAATAATATATGTACGGATAATTTTCACTATGTTGAACAATCCTTAATCACCTACAGTATATAAATGCATCCACTATCAAACACTCAGTTAGTGTATAGAGAAAGACTGCAATGGTTGATCTAGTGTTGCCCAAATGCGAGACCGAGACGAGTCTTGGTCTTGCAAACTCAGTCTTGGTCATGGTCTTGGTCTTGCGTAAGAGTCTTGCAAGAGGCAGTCTTGCAATTACATATCAGATTTTTACTATACAGATATTACTGTAATTTTTTAGATAGGAGAAACAGATGGAAGTTAGAGCACTACTCTCTTAATCGGGGAGGCCTGCAGGAGTAATACTTGTAAAAACAGGCTATACAATTTAAAAAATTGTAATTGAGTAGCAAAATATTTCAAAAACATCTAATTTTGAGTCATATAAATTAAATGAACCAAATTTTTGCCATATTATTTATAATTTTAGATAGCTAAACTCGCGTTGAAGTTATAACATTTTTTGTGATTTTTGAAAAAAATCACGTAAGGGATCAAACATTAAGCCTGGAAACATATCCGAGTTGTCCACGCTTGTAACACATTTAGGGCCATAACAATCTCTCGCACTGATTGGGTGGGATTTCGATCAACAATGGCCTTAACATTGCTCGTTTCAATTCCATGTGGGCGACCAGACCGATGAGCTTCATTGATGTCAACATTTCCTGAATGAAATTTGGCAAACCAATTTTTACATTGTTCGGTTAATGCATCGTCCCGATAAACACTGCAAATTTTTCTATGAACTTCTGCAGCACGCTTTCTTTTTTTAAAATAATAATACAAAATATGCCAATAATGAATGATATTTTCTTCCATATTCGTAGTGCAAACACAATACTAAGCTAGTTGCCCGATATTATAGTGTTGACACATTAGGTAACGAAGAGAAGAAATTACTTACGAAGTTTCGGGCAGATGTTAACAATTTGATAAAAAGAGGTCTGTCTCTTGGCAACGCCGTTTTATCAATACTACAAATTAAGTCACATGTAACCACAATACATACTATCTTTTGTATTGTATAAATTATGTATACTAACGTTAGCTACCACTGAAATAAACTATGAAGTTGTGGTAAGAAGTCGAAAAAAGATCAAGATGGGACAGAAGTTTTAAAATGACTTATATGTCACATTTTGGAGCTTATTCCCTTTGTTGTTTGGTTGGTGCATAGAGGTTAATAATCGTGAAAATCACTTTAAAAGAAAAACATATAGGATATAAATAAAGAACAGCAAAATCTCGTAGCGTTTTTGTTTGCTATTTTTAACATTTGATTTCTATTAGAAAGTTGTCTTCTAATCACATAAGGGCTTAAATTATAGATATCTCCTTGTTTCGGAATTTAACACGTAGTTTAAGTAAAATGTATACTTATAATTTGTTTGATTTATATTCGTAACAAATTATTACCATTTTGACTTTTTTTATAGCAACAAGATCAACCATACGTGAAAAGAGCAGCTATTCCACCCGGATATGAACTAGTGTTGGAGGTAACAATTTTAATAAATTTATTAAAATATTTATCACAATTCATTGTAAACCCAGTTGGTGCTAATGATCCACATATTTATAATAATCCGAAACTTGTATTTATTAATAATAATAATAATAATAGGCTGTATATTTGCTTAAATAGACCGATTTTGATGGGTTTTTTCCCTATTTTCTAATTGATTTTGTATTTCTTTTTAAACCTCTAAAAATAATTGATTTGTTATACACTGACAGGCAAAAAATTCCACCCACTTGATTTTTTCATGTTTTCATCTAAAAATATTTCTGCCACTTGTAAAAAAAGTTGTATTCGTAGATAATACTTAGTATTTATGGAATTTTATAACCTTTTTTACCTTTAATAGTCAAAATGTGATTGGGTAAGAAAGGACAGAGAAAAAAAAATTGAAAAACGAACCATTATTATCCTAAAAGAAATTAATTACATCGTCGTTTTGCAGCGCGGGTTTCCTCCTCTTGCCTTCACTACTTCTTGAAGACGCCTCGGCATACTTTCCACCAGTCGGGAAATGTCCCTTTGCTGGAGGATAGCCCATTCCTCCCGAAGAGCCCTTTCAAGATCCTGCAGTGTATCAGCAAGTGTTGCACGCGCTCTTATTCGTCTTCCGAGGTTATCCCATAAATGCTCAATGGGGTTCAAATCTGGACAATGTGCTGGCCAGGCTGAAACCTCAATATTGTTCTGTTGAAAGAACGTCTGCACTATGCGGGCGACATGTGGGCGTGCATTAGAATAGAACGATCGCCGATTTCGTTGAGGATAGGCAACACATGAGGTTCCAAAATCTCATCTACATAGCGAATGGCCGTCAAAGACGCTCCATGAACAACAACCAATTCTGTGCAGCGCTCCATTGAAATCCCAACCCACACCATTAAGGAACCACGTTGCAAAGGTTGGCTCTGGGAAAAACTACAGGATGCATATCTTTCGTTTCTTCTTCTCCACACCCTTTCACGCCCGTATGGAGATCGAAGAGCGAATCTTGACTCATCTGTAAAGAGTACAGCACTCCATTCGTCCATAGTCCAATGGCTGTGTTCTAGAGCAAAAGCTATCCGTGTTACTCTGTGGGTTCTGGTCAACTCTGGTCCTCTTACTGGACGAAAAGCCATTAATCCATACTCATTTAATCTTCTCCGAGCGGTACGCTCAGAAATATGCACACCTCGAACTTCTTCGAGCTGATGAATCGCTTGAACAACGGTAAGGAGCCGATTCCGTAAAATTCTCAAAATCAAAAACCGGTCATCCCGTGGTTCTGTTACCCTAGGCCGTCCAGAACCGGGCCTTCTATCGTAAGAACCAGTTTCCCGAAAACGCCTGACGGCGTCTCGTAAAGTTTCATACGATACTCCGATGGTATTAACGTGGCATGGAACGTCCATCATCAAAAAGTGCCACACCACGCGCAACATCCTCAGCACTACGATGCATTTTTAAACTTAATATTGAAAAAATTAAAAGCCGAAGACTAAGAAATGTGCTGCAAGAAACGGAACTGAACTAAAGATACTGAATAAACATTTTGATTCCATAGAAAGTAAGCATTGGAATCTAGAATCATTTCATTGAATTAAGGATTAAGGGTTATTGTCCTCTATATTAACATTCCTAATTGAAAACAAACAAAAAGATTACCTATTTATTCATTAAAAACAATATACCAATCCAAAGCAGAAATATTTTTAGATGAAAACATGAAAAAATCAAGTGGGTGTTATTTTTTGCCTGTTAGTGCATAATACTTAAAAGATAAGATCAATAATGTTTTACTTGAGTAGCAAAATATTTTAAAAACATCTAATTTGGCGTTATATGAATTAAATGAACCAAATTTTGACCATATTATTTATAATTTTAACATTGAAACACTTTGGAATCGTTTGAGAGCGCACTATGATATATTGGGTTGGCAAGTAAGTCCCCTCAGTTTTATACTGATAATTTGTTTGATTTATATTCATAACTCATTATTACCATTTTAACCTCTTGATTTTTTTTAAAGAAAGCAGAGCCGGCATATAACGAAGACAGCCAACTAGATTCACCAATCATATTAGTACTAAGGCCTAAGGTAATAATTTTGATAAATTTATTAAAATATTTATTACAATTTATTGTAAACCCATTTGGTTCTAATAATACACATAGTTATTAATAATCCGAAACATGTATCCGTTACTAATAATAATAGGATCCCTACAATCCTCCTCGAAGGTTTAAGCGGCAGTGGCCCAAAGACCTATTGTAGTATATATCTTAGAGTTCTGGCAATGGGCAGATTCTTCACTCAAGACATGTGTGTATGTGGTTAAAGTGCTCTAGCTCAAACTCCACTGGCTTTAGCACCAGTGACGCGGTTGAGAGAGTAGCGCAGGGATCTCTTGAAGTCCTGATTTTGTCTCTATAGTTGGAGGAACAAGCCTGACATGGGTTTCTCTGCCAGATCGTGTATATTGTATATAGTTATGATTGTGTTTATATGTTTTTAATTTGTTTATCTTTATGTTGTTTTATTTTTTATTGTACATAGTTTTTGATTATTATTTTACTTTCGTTAATTTTATGTTTTCTGTATATACGGTAAGAATGTGTTATATCATATATCACTATAATTATTGTCCACGTAACAGATCGTTATATTTCTAAATAAATAAATAAAAAATTAATAATAGGCTGTATATTTGCTTAAATAGACCGATTTTGATGGGTTTTTTTTTCTATTTTCTAATTGCTTTTGTATTTGTTTTTAAACGTCTAAAAATAATTGATTTATTATTTAATATTTAATATTTAAAGATAGGATCAATAGTGTTGTACTTGAGTAGCAAAATATTTTAAAAACTATCTAATTTTGCGTTGTATAAATTAAATGAACCAAATTTTTACAATTGAAACACTTTGGAAGAGCTTGAAAGCGCACTATGACTATGGTTGTCAAATAAGTCCTTTCGGTTTTTCAGGGTTAAATAAAATTCAATCTATTATTGACATCAAATTTATTTTAATCTACAAAATATTGGCCATTATTTAATATGACTTTTTCACATTTTTCTACTCACTGCTTAATGCCATGTGGATATTTTAATTCCTCTTCCTTTTGGAATTTCATGGAGTTCTGCAGAGACCGCAATAAGTGGTAGTCACTTGGAGCTAGTTCTGATGGATAGTGAGGGTGTTGCAAAATGTCCCGTCCAAGGAACAATAATTTATTGCGAGTGACCAATGAGGTGTAGGGCCTAGCGGTCTCTGGGTGGAATACAACCTTCCGATCATTCATTTACACAACCCTTCAGGATGCTATCCAAATTCAATGATACTATATGCGTTGAAAAACTGAATTATCGCTCTTCAAAGCAGTATCAATAGATTTTTGATTTAATGTCTATATAAGGAATAATTAAACGAAAACTCTGTAAAGGTTTTTATTTTGTATCTCCATTTGTAGTTTGTTTACGAAGGTCCATTTGATGTTATTTTCTGTATTTTACGAGGCCCTAAAATCCTGCTAAATTTCTTGTAGATAATTAAAAGCGTATTAAAGTTATAACATTTTTTGTGATAAAAAAAAAAAAAAATCATGTGATGGACACAAACATCAAGCCTGGAAACATAGCTGAGCATGTGCAAATGGTTAGCTAGGCTTTTGTGCGACACATTTAGGGCAATCTCAATCCCTCGCTCTGATTGGGTGGAAGTCTGTTCAACAATGGCCATAAAATTGCTCGTTTCAATTTCATGTGGGCGACCAGACAAGTTTCCTGAATGTTAATAATTTGATAAAAAGTCCACGGACTACTTACTTCCTTGGCAACGCCCTTTTATCCAATACTTCAAATTAAGTGAAATATAACAAAACTGAACAACACAATTATTTAACCACAATAATTACTATGTATCTTATGTATTGTATAAATTATGCATGATGAGGTTAGCTACCACTTAAATAAACTATGAACTTAGGGTAAAAAGTCGAAAAAAGATCAAGATGGGCCTGAAATTTTAAAATGACTTATATGTCATATTTTGGAGGCTATTCCATAACATTTATAACTGATCGTACATATCGTCCTTTTGTTTTTCGGTTGGTGCATAGACGTTAATAATCGTGAAAATCACGTTAAAAGAAAAACATAAGATATAAATATAGAACAGCAAAATCTCGTAGCGTTTTTGTTTGCTATTTGAAACATTTGATTGCTATTAGAAAGTTGTCTTCTCAACAGGGTGTTTTTCATTCCACCGTATTGTATATTTATCACATAAGGGCTTGAAATTATAGATATTTCCTTGTTTCGGAATTTAATACGTAGTTTAAGTAAAATGTATACTGATAATTTGTTTGATTTATATTATTAGCACATTATTACCATTTTGACCGCTTAATTTTTTTTCAAGCAAAAAGATACAGATCATCCAGACGTGAGACCAAAAAGAGATTTGCCACCAAAGTTTGAGGTAACAATTTTGATAAATTTATTGAAATATGTATCACAATTTATTGCAAACCCAGTTGGTGCAAATAATGCACATAGTTATAATAATCCGAAACATTTATCCATTATTGATAATAATAGGCTGTATATTTGCTTAAATAGGCCGATATTGATGAGTTTTTTTTCTATTCTCTAATTGTTTTTGTATTTGTTTTTAAAACTCTATAAATAATTGATTTATCATATATTACTTAAAAGATAAGATCAATAATGTTCTACTTGAGTTGCAAAATATTTTAAAAACATGTAATTTTGCGTTATATAAATTAAATGAACCAAATTTTTACCATATTATTGATAATTTTAGATAGCTAAAGTCGTGTTGAAGTAGTAACGTTTTTTTGTGATTTTTGAAAAAAAAATCAATTAAGGGACCAAACATTAGGCCTGGAAACAGAGCTGAGCTTGTGCAAATAGTTTTCTTATAGTGCAAATAGTTACTTATAAGTCATATTTTGGAGCCTATTCCATAATAAATGTTATGTTTTATGGGTGTTTTTTATTCCACCGTATTGTATATTTTTCACATAAGGGCTTGAAATTATAGATATTTCCTTGTTTCGGAATTTAATTCGTAGTTTAAGTAAAATATATACTGATAATTTGTTTTATTTATATTCGTAACACATTATTACCATTTTGATCTCTTAATTTTTTTAAAAGGAAATAGACGAAGGTCGTCTAGATGAGAGAACAGGATATATTATATCCAAATTGGCACTAAAGGTAACAATTTTGATAAATTTATTAAAATATGTATCAAAATTTATTGTAAACCCAGTTGGTGGTAATAATGCACATGGTATTTAGCATAGATCAGTCTGTGTGTGTCAAAAATCCAGTGTGTCCACTCACACGACTTTCCTACCTCTTTCAAAAGAGTTTTTATATCTTTAAATATGTCTATTATGAAACAAAAAAAAAAAAAAAAAATGGAATTAAATTTATTTCCCTGAAAATTTATCAAAGAAAATATTTAAGTACGATATCTTAGATAAACGAAAGCAATGTGAACCAGCTTGTGGAAGATCAGCGTAAAAAACCAAATACACTCTAATATTGTTAATCAGCAACTTTTGTACCTTAGCTCAATTTCGGCTAACAATAATTTATGTTAAAAGTCGAGAGTAAACTTGTGTGATGGGGGCAAATGATTTTCTTTTTTTTCTCATTCACAGCTTAGATACGTATTCTTACACACGAAATTGAATAGCTGTAATTTCGTTAATACTTGTCCGAGATTAACGATTTTTATATAATTTTTTAGGAAATTTCGTTACCTTTGAAATATATACTCTAAATAATTTTCGGTCATATCAGTAGTCAAAACCCTACAAAATAAAAAAAGAAGTAACGAAATCGGCCCAATAGTTCTCCAGATAATCTTGGCACAGACAGACTAATGGCTGAAAATATGTTTTTCGGGCACGGAGTGGTCTGAAACGTATAAATCCGTCGAAAATAGCTTGTCGGAAATTAGACCCGATCGCAATATTTTCTTTACTGAGAATAGCTAGGAAAGTAAAAATAGCCTAGCAAACACTTATCAGATCTTATGCTATAATTATTTTTACAACAATCTAATTAATTTTAAGCATTCTAATTTTAATTTTAAATATACTTTCTGCTTTTTTTCTAGAATCTTTTTTGGGTGCCGGATGATAAGGCCACTACACATTAAATTGTTAAAGTAAGTTAATGGCTACTTGCCAGCTCCTTTATTTAAAGATTACAACAATATATGAAATATATATATATATATAGTGTGTTTCGTAATTGCACGGCACTATTTTAGGTATGTGTTCACTAACACAAAATAAACAAAAAAGTTCATATTAACATATATCTCAAACTCATTTATTAAACAGATATCAAAGATTAAAGATTTATTATTTATTTACTACATTAAGACTGACTGTCCAAATTTTAACGTGTTTAATACTAAATAACAGATTTTAATCACCTGATAAACAAATGAAAGATAACCAATGACAGTAGTTGCTCATCTGCTTGTCTAGTTCTGTGTGTGTTAGTATGAATGAATACTGTGACACAGTTCAATTTATGATTATCATGAAAGACACCACAAATTTATTCACTTTTGCAGAACAAACAGACATGCTTTTAACTTATGGCGAGGTTCATAGAGATGGTGCTGCTGTTGTTCGAAGATATCGTGAAAAATTTCATAACCGAAGAATACCAAATCTTCAAACGTTTGAGGCCATAAAAAGACGCCTTAGGGATAATGGTACGCTAAAACCTATACGAGTAAACACCGGTCGACAAAGATTTCGACAAACTGTAAACGTTGAAGAAGAAATCGATTCTCGATGCTTTTCAGTTATCTCCTGCTACTAGCACAGAAGATTGCCACGTTGTTTCGATGTTTCCTCTACCAGCGTATGGCGAACTTAAAGCGAACAACAATTGTATCCATTTCATGTATCGAGTAGGCAAGATTTGTTACCACAAGATTATAACAAGCGCAGAAATTTCTCTCAGTGGTTAATTCGACAATGCCCACGAATTCCTAACTTCCTGAACTGCAATTTGGTTACTGATGAATCTTAACATGATTGTTAATTTTCGAAATACCAATACTTGGGCTGAAGAAGACCCTCATAGGACTGCTGTTGGACACTACCAACATACCTTTTCTTTAAATGTCTGGTGTTTCTTACTTGCAGTTTTGCAAAATAATCTTCATGATTTCCTCGAAGATATTCCGCTAGGCATTAGGCAAAGGCTGTGGTTTATACATGATGTTGCTCCAGGTTAGATTTTGTTTTTACTATCATGGTTCTTTTTAGGGTGCAAAAGTTATTAGAGTTTTTTGGGATATTATTTTTATTTACTGCCAAATGCACTTACCATTTTTATATGAATGAAAGATTGTACTCTTTGAATTGTTTAAAAATTATTTTGTTTACTAGATGTAAAATGATAAATTTATTTATTGAAAAATGTCCACAAATGCCTTTTGGCAAATTTAAATAAATAAAGGTTCATAAGGTAGGTAAAGTGTTTAGATAATTATGCATTCAAGGGCAATCCTTTTATAGGTATCTTTAATTATATTAAAATATGCTGAAAAGAAACTTGATAATGGGCGAACAGGTCCAGAAATGTTATTGCTAGTAAATTGACAACAAGTTAATCAATCTTTTATTTTAGTTGTAATAAAAAAATTAAAAAAAATTATTTAGTTATAATAAAAAAATTGTAATTATTTTTTCGTTTTCATAAAATATTTCCTTATAAAATTGTGAACTAATATGAACTTTTTAACCAGGATGAAGTCCATAATTCTATGAAGATTAGACTTCCCATCACTCGAAGATGACTTCAGGAATTATATTGATCAAATATAAAAAATATTGATTCTGTTAATAAAAGCAAAATATACATATATATTTATAAATTATTGGTTTGTTCTTCCATTTTATTCCTGTTTTCCATTTCCTTGACTGAACTAATTACAATATTTGGTTGCTGATTGTAATTGAAGCTATTAATTTTTTTTCTGATCCGCCATAATTTTATTTAAACTCTTACATATATAAGTTTAATATATATATATATATGTATTCACAAGCTTTGTCCTTGTACTTGTGAATATATATATTATATTGTTATTAAATATCCATAAATAGGGATATAAATTACCTGTAGGCTTGTAGGGGAGCTTTCGGGTTGAAGCCTCTCTCCAAAATAGAAAAATAAAACCATGTCGAATGAAAAAAAATTATCCCTAAAAGTTTTATTTTTCATGAGTTACATTTTTATAGGCTTTCAAGAATCCCATAAACACCATTTCATAAATATAGTTAGTTTCTTTATTTTTTTTTTCCAAGAATGTATAAAAAAATAATAATTATCTACCGCGAATAACCATTCTTTGGGATTTTTAAAGAAATCAAAATTTGGAACATTTAATACTTGATTTTATTAAAGCATTTTTTTTCTGGCCCATAACTAAGGCATTTGGATTTTATCCAAATTCAACATTAGTTTGACAAAATGGTACATTTTTGAGAAAATTCTAAAAATGGATTACACCATTGATATAAAGTGATACTTAAGGTTAGCCGATTTTAATGGAAAAGTTGCTGTCATCTCTCATATATCTATCGTAAATACTTAATATCACTTTCATACGGCTTTTCGTTTTTGAGCTAGACTCTTCATACACACATACAGACCATCTTTCGGGACTTGTTTATTTGGGCTCAGAGGATCTCTAAACGCATATTTCCGTTGAGAACACAGATTCGAAAATTTTCACTATCGCTATGCTTTTCCTTAATATACATTACATATATAGCTAAGTGAACGTAGAAATATTTAACTGATGTGTTTATTTCCTGATTTTTATCATTATTTTAAGTCAATTTTTCGTTCACATATGCTTGATGCCCTTTCAAATGAACGTAGATGTAGGAAAGATACAAATGAGGGACTACCACAAAGTCATTGGAGCTATTGTAATGCTAAATGCCGGAGTAGCTATTGAAATTTCAATGATCTCTGCTTTCGAAACATACGACCCTCATGTAATGTTCTAGCTAAATTTGAAACTAGGTTAAACTAGAAAGGGTCATCAGTCTAAAGTAATTTGGTAAAAAATCCTTCGAATATGTATATTTTAAGATATGTCTTACTAACTAGGAATTTCATATTACACTTTGAATAATACTTTAAATTTAAATATTGTAGCAGTGCTTTAACTACTGATCATATCTTAGAACACCGTTATTAACGTTTCTGAGGAAAAACAGTTTTTATAGACTTGTATTATATAATATAAATAGCTTTACCCAGCCACGCGCTGCTGTGGCTTAGCCTGGCAAAATGAAAATAGAAAGCACATATGAGTAAATTAGTAGAAAAGGACATCTGTCATTTTTAAAAGGTTGGGAAACAAATGTCTGTAAAATGGCTTCAATTTAAACTAATTCTAATGATTTTTTTTCTCATGATTCAAATTGAACATTCATTATCATCTTAGTGAATACGCCGTCATTCATAATCATCAGAAACAGTCTGAGTTGAACTTATAAAACTAAATTAAAAAAAAATAATTTAAAAAAACGTATAATAGTATTGACCTACATAATGAGAATCATATAAATTCTTCAAATGATAATTTCAATTACTGTAGTAATTATAAAATTTTCGATTAATCAATAAAAACAGTAGTGAGGAAGCAAAAGGAAACGGCCTTTTCTGAAGAGAAAGCAGTAAATGTTTAAAACCCAATAACTCTGCAACAAACCGTCCGATTTCGATGATTTTTTTTTTATTTTGTCAGGGATTCAGAAATCTTTCAAATAAATGTGGGTCAAAAATTGTGTACTTTTTTAGTTATCGTCAAATAAAATATTGAATTCATCGTAACATTTTTCAGCTTGTTTTCGGGAAAGTATGTTATACACATAAATTAAAAGGGTTTCAAGGGGAAGACTTTAGCCAAGTTTCGTTAAAATCAGTAAAGCCGTTTGAACAGAAAAACATTTACATTTTTATTTTTTTACATATATAAAATTATGGTAAGACAGAAGTACTATGCCAGAAACCTTCCCAGGAGTGCAAGGAACAACTTCCCAAAGTTTCATGGCGATCGGTTGAATGGTTTAGTAATGCACTAAGGACAAACAGACGGACAGACAGACATACATTCATTTTTATATATATAGACAAGTAAACGGTACCTCTTACTTATCTGTGTAATTGTAATAAAAAATCTAAACTTTCCATTGAAAACAAATTACTGATCTGCAAGACGATACTGAAACCTGTTTGGACTTGCGATCTAGAACTGTGGGCGGCAGCATAATTTTCTGATATAAAACTTCTTTAACACCCAATCCTGCCTGCCCAAATTTCTTGGAACAGTACTCGCTGGTCCTTTCTACGTAACCAACAAAATCTTATCCCATGGCATCAACATTCCATTTTCCTAGTCCTTATTCCAGAAAAATTATCTAAATTTCACCAGAACCTTAAGTATCATCCAAATCCTCTTGCACAATCCCTATCAAGCACCACCCATCCCATTAATCCTTCAAGAAAGTTAAACGACAGTGGCCCCTTGATCTTTTATAGTTTGTATAAATCGGAGTTCTGGCAATGGTCAGATTCTTCATTCAAGACATGAGTGTATGTGGCTGAAGTGCTCTCGATCAATCTCCGCTGGCTTTAGTACCAGTGATGCGATTGAGAGAGTAGCGCAGGAACCTTCTGGAGTTCTGCTTTTCCCTCTACAGTTGGAGTTCCCTGATTGTAAGTAGTGTATATAGGTATTCCTTTTTTTAAAATAATTTTATTTATCATAATTGGTAATTGGTTGACTGTCGTGGATAATGAAGAGAAGAATAGTTGGGGTGGTCAGTCAAAAAGGAAGGCAAAAATAAATGATAATATTTATTTTTACATATGCCGACGTTTCGACCTGAAGTTCAGGCCTTCATCAGTGCTAAGAAAATAACCAGATAACAAGGTATGAGAAACATAAGTAGTGATGGTAAAAAAAAAAAAAAATAAAAATAAATATAAAGTAAAATGAAATTGTTAGAATAATGACTAAGAACTAAGACATAAATAATAATAACCGTTACAAAGTGTGGAATGATGAAGTAGGCGTAATCAAAAAGGGTGACATAAGTGTTACAATAATTTAACTCTTTATTATATTATACATTGTCTGTACATCTTGATAGACTTTACAATATCTCAATTTTCTATCTAACTACTCCATTCTCAATGTTTTAATTTTACTATTTATTTTCATTTCGTATATAACTTCATAATTCTTTTTTATGTTTTACATTTTATTCTAAGATTCCCATTGTAACACTTATGTCACCCTTTTTGATTACGCCTAATTCTTTATTCCACACTTTGTGACGGTTATTATTATTTATCTCTTAGTTCTTAGTCATTATTCTAACAATTTCATTTTACTTTATATTTATTTATTTTATTTTTTTTTTACCATCACTACTTATGTTTCTCATACCTTATTATCTGGTTATTTTCTTAGCCCTGATGAAGGCCTGAACTTCAGGTCGAAACGTTGGAATATGTAAAAATAAATATTATAATTTATTTTTGCCTTCCTTTTCGACTGACCACCCCAACTATTCTTCTCTTCAATTTTATTTATCTTTAAGTTACTTTATTAATGGTTTATACTTTTTGATTATTATTTAGTTATTTTGCTTCAGTGAATTAATTCTTTTTAAGCATATTATATGAATGTTATCTTATCTCCCTATAAGCCATGTTATACTATTCAATAAAAATAAAGTTGTAATCAAATAAATTTAAATAACAAATAACAAATATTGGAATAAAAAAAAAATTAATAGTAAAACTTATAAACTTAAATTATTATACAAATTTTGTAAGATTTAAGAGCGAATGATACAACTTGATCCGGGTCTCGAGATTTAAGGATTCAGGAAAAAAAAGAAGTTAAAATCTTCTCAAAAATTGATCTTTCACGTTTCAAGATACATAGAATCACAGTGGCACGAATAAGAGAAAACTCACGACATCGCCTTTTTTTCAGTTAAACTATTAAATAGAAAACGAATAATCTGCTAACTGAAAATATTCTAGATAACTCCACAAGCTATCAAAAACAGTTTGATTTAGATAGATATCGCCAGTTTTCCCTTAAGGTACTATTTGGCTAGTGCTGCCCACAGCAGCGACCACTATACTACACTGCCAACCGCTGTTGCGTGGCTATTTCGCTGAAACTGCTATTTCGCTGGAGTTGTTATAACCTGCCTACAACCTTCGAACATTTCGTTATAACTTCGAAGATAAAAAATATCTGGTGTGTTCACTCACAAGACTTTCCTACCTATTTCAGAAAAGTTTTTATATCTTTACATATGTTCATGAAGAAACAAAAAAGAATTGAACTAGATACATTTTCCTAAAAACTGATCAAATATAAGATTTGAGTACGATTTATTTGATAAACTAAAGCAATGTAAACCGGCTTAAGGTAGATCAGTTTAAAAAATTCAATACTTCCTAATATTGCTGATCAAAAACTTTCTGCCATAGCTTAGTATTGTCAAACAATAATTTATGTTAAAAAAAGAGGAAATAGTGAAGATTGTGTGATGTGGGCAACAGATTTTCTTACTTTCACTTAGTCATCTTTATTCTCTTATTCACCCCTTTCTGACACCAGGATATGAAACCGTAATCTTACATTGGAAATTGAATAGCTGTAACTTCGTTAATAGTTGTCCAAAATGAACGATTTTTATATGGCTTTGTAGGGAATTTCATTACCTAGTATAGATAGGAAAGTAATAAGTTAAAAAATAGAATAAGCTGTATCATCGCTATTACTGGTTCGATTCCGATTTTTTTTTGTTTTATTGGTAATTTAAATTCCTT